ACACACACACACACACACACACACACAGAGGGTGTGAGGGAGTGGAGGAGAGAGAGAGAGAGAGAGAGAGAGAGAGAGAGAGAGAGAGAGAGAGAGAGAGAGAGAGAGAGAGAGAGAGAGAGAGAGAGATGGAGAGAGGCAGAGAGAGAGAGCGAGAGGCCGACAGATGGGGATAGAAACAGAGACAGGGACAGAGAAAAACACAGACAGACAGACAGACAGACATACAGACAGACAGATATCCACACACACACAGAGACAGAGACCAAAACAAACAGTCACAGAGACAAACAAAAACACAACAATATTTGGTCGCTTTTAAGGACAAGCGGGCTAACCCAGATTCAGGGGTTCCTGAAATTTAAAGCTACACCAAAAGTGGGCATTGCCCTACCTATAGGAGAAGTTTGGCTTCATTGGTGTGTTCGTTTGGTTATAGAGAAAACTCCCCTTGTCTTTTAAAGAAACGGAACAAGGGGCAAAAACTTTATCTTCGATGTTCTCAAAACAGCATTTTTGGGGATAGCCCTCTTGTGCTGAAAAGCGACCATTTAACAGCAACAACAATCCCCTCTTTCTCTCACCCATCGCACACCCCTCCCTCAGGTGAGCCTAGCAACATGCTGAGCTTCAAGGCTGTGTACCCCAACAACTCTGCCTTCGAGGCCGACCTCTACCAGCAGAAGTCCGGCATTAAGCAGGAGGAAGGCATCTTCTCTGCTCGTCTGGTCAACCCACGTCTGCTGCACTGCCGCCTCCACTGGAGACCTGAGATGATCCAAGAAACCGAGGACTGGCTTCTCCGACAGATCAGGGAGCAGAGCGAGAGCGCCAAGAAAGAGCTCCGCCGAGTCTCCGCTGAATTGGAAGTCGAGGTAAGGCCCTATTTGTTAGCTGTTTGATGGATTGATCGCGATCGATCGATTGATTAATTGACGATTGATTGATCGATATATTGGTTGATTGATTGATTGAACAATTTATTTATTTATTTATATACATTTATTCATTTAGTCATTCGTTTATTTACTTATCGCGTTGTCCCAATTTGTTGCCGGATATTTGCAAGTTACGTAGCAAATGTGTCAAAATGGTAGCAACAGTTATGCTTCAAGTCAAGAAGAAAATTAAA